GTCTTACGTTTTCTTGGATTGTAGTGCAAGAGATCCAAGCGGTAATTTCTTGTCCTTTTTTGATTCTTCAGTTCAAAATTAGGTTTTCTGATATTTTGAAAATTAAGGGGGGTTATCAGAAGTCGTTACCCCTAGTTTCCCGTCTAATATTGTTGGATGTGAATCTCTTCTGATATAAACTCATGCAATTCTAGTTGAATGTGAAAATACTTTTTACATCTAAAGAGAATAACGTGATTTATGTTAGGAGTATGCTCTACATGCAATAATTATTAGATCTGTCCGGGGAGGATTCCCCTGCTCGTACAGGTTAGGAATATAGTAGTGTATCGTCTATCTTTGTATACTTTACGCATTTTTATTCCTACAAAATTTCGGTAACACGTACCGCATTGTTCTCCGTGTACAATAAGCGCATGTTGTTTTGCATTTCGATCTATAATCGATATATTATCGATGATTGATACGCATTATAACATCCGCACAGTGTACTCGAAGAACAGCGGGTAGGTGCTGCCGAAATTTTTAAGAAATAAAAACGCTTAAAGTATATAAAGGTAGTTGTAAACACTACTATATTCCTAATGGGATAGGTCCATTTCCTATGACAGCCGTTAAAGTCTCTTATTGAAAATATGAGCGTTAGATTTTACTCCCACATAATTTATGTTCTGGTAATTTTCCCTCCGAGATTATTATAATTAAAATTTCCTTGATGTCGTGAAGAAAGTTAATATCACGCAATCTTTAATTTGATGCGTTACTAATAAAAATTCACATTACCTAATTATGCTTAATATCATACAGATGAGGATAGTTCCCGACAAATCATGGATCGATATTCCTCGTATTGATAGATGGAGGGATAGTCGATATAAAGATGGAATAAATCAATTCATACTATACGCGACCCACAGAAGTTAAATAGTGATGTCGTGTATTGTCCCTGCTGTTGGTGTAAAAATAGGGCGTTGGTGGATAAAAGTGATTTACAAAAACACTTAATATCCGGATTTCATGAGGAGTACAAATATTGGACGTTTCATGGGGAAGGATGCCTTGAAGAAATGGAACTGATGGCGGATACCGGTACGTCCGGTGGGAGAATAGATGATACGAGAATAGATGATACACATACGATGCTCGTGGATATGTTAACAGTTCCTAATATAGATCAATCTGAAGATGCCGAGGATGCTGACGAGTCGGGAAATGCTGGAGGCGTGACTGATCATGAGGAGCTAGCGCAGATAATGAAATTAATTGACGACAATGAAAATGATCTGTATGAGGGTTGTACCGAGTTCACCAGGTTATCATTTATGATGCGTCTTTTGCGTATAAAGTCTCTTAGCAGAATGGCGGATAAATATTTTAATATGTTGATTGTGTTGCTGAGAAAAGTCATTCCAAATGGAAAAGATAGCATACCAGAAAATTATGATAACGCAAAGAAGATTGTTTCCGTTATAGGACTTGATTACAATAAAATCGACGCATGCCCTAATGATTGTATCCTCTACTATAAGGATAACAAAGATCTTCAGGAGTGTCCAATTTGTGGAGTATCATGGTGGGTACAACGCAAAAATTATTCAACACATGGGACAACAAGGTCTATGCTTAAGCAAAAGAAGATTCCAGCAAAGGTCCTGCATCATTTTCCCTTAATACCAAGGCTAAAAAGGTTGTATATGAATAAAGACAGTGCTAAGCAAATGAGGTGGCACATGGAAGAACGTACTGATGATGGTAAAATCAGACATCCGGCTGATGCAGAGGCGTGGAAGCATATGGATAGAACTTTTCCTTGGTTTGCGAATGAGTGCAAGAATGTTAGACTAGGTTTGTCTAGCGACGGATTCAATCCATTTGGGATAATGAGTTCTGGTTGGTCTACATGGCCTGTGGTATTAACGCCTTACAACTTACCACCTTGGCTTTGCATAAAACAACCGTATGTGATACTTTCATTATTGATACCAGGCAAGCATGCACCAGGTAATGACATAGATGTGTTTTTAGAACCGCTAATTGATGAGTTAAAACAACTCTGGACTGAAGGGGTTATGACTTATGATACTCATGCAAAGCAGTCTTTCAGACTACGTGCTATTTTACTATGGACAATTAATGATTTTCCAGCCTATGCGAATCTTTCAGGTTGGTCTACAAAGGGAACATATGCATGTCCAGTGTGTGGTCCAGAATTCAAAGGTCTTTATCTGCAGCACAGTCGAAAGTTTTGTTATTGGTTTAATAGAAGGTGGTTGAACATAAAACACAGGTACAGGACCAAAAAATGGAGCAAGTTTTTTGATGATACTGTTGAGAAGAGAGATGCTCCGCATCCATTACGTGGGGATCAGATTGTACATTTGCTTGAGATGTTCCCTGCCGTCAGGTTTGGAAAGAAGCGCTATTCGAAAGAAGATTTACTTGGAGTAAGGAACTTGCGTATTAACAAAAGGATACCAAAACGAAAGAGACAAGCACAAGTGGTGAGTGATGGGGCTGAAGTCGTAAAATTACCTTCAGGATGGACAAAATTCAGCATTTTTTTTCAACTCCCCTATTGGAAAGAGCTAAAAATACGTCACAACTTGGACGTTATGCACATTGAAAAAAATATTTGTGATAATCTTTTGTCCACACTGTTGCAAGATGCTAATAAATCAAAGGATGATCTACGAGCTCGTCGAGATCTAACTGCATTGAACATTAGAGAGGAACTGCAGCCAAAAATTGTCAGAAATAACCGATTAGAGTTGTCCGCGTCTCGTATTACAATGTCGAAAGTTGAGATGCAAACATTTTGTCAAGTCCTCAAATCAATAAAGTTACCAGAGGGTTACTCCTCAAACATATCGAACTATGTCCAGGTGCAAGAAAGGAAAATATTAGGGCTTAAAACTCATGATTATCACGTGCTTCTTCATCAATTGCTACCTGTGGCACTACGCAGTACTATGCAGGATAAAAAAACAGTGAAGGTTATTATTGATTTTTGTGGATTTTTCAGAAAGCTTTGTTCTAAAGTTATAGACGCCCGTGACTTTGAGAAACTTGGAGAAAATATTTCTGAAACAATGTGTGAAATGGAGATGCTCTTTCCTCCATCTTTTTTCACAATAATGGTTCATCTTACACATCATCTCGCGGAGGAGGCTGCAATAGCAGGACCAGTCCATTATCGTTGGATGTATCCAATAGAGAGGTTAGTATTTAGAAAAATTTAATCGTTACCTATCAATATTTATATCTATTAAATGTAAATTTCTTTACATCTATATCTGATTAATATTCCTTTTTTAGATATTTGGGTTCAATGAAGCGTCAATTGCGTAACAGAGCTCGCCCAGAAGGTTCAATAGCTGAAAGTTACGTGAGAAGCGAGTGTCTCTTATTTGCCTCTCGTTATATGAGAGGGGAACAAACTGAACTTCAAGCACCCGTTGATAATAAGGAGTACACAGTTCTCTATCCTCACGGGCTGAACAAAAATTATTCTAACATATTATTAGATCAAGCGCATGCATATGTTATAAATAATCTTGAAATCTTCTCGGAGTACCGGAGGTAAAATATCTAAAAAGAATTTTTAATACCATTTACTCTTTAATTTCTATTTTGACAAAATTTTTATTTTGACAATAATAATTAAATTTATGCACATTAATAGGCAACATCAGGAAAAACTTAAGAATGAAGTTACCGGTAGTACAGCTGTACATGACATTAAAGAAAGGCATACGCTTAAAGTATATAAAGGTAGTTGTAGACACTACTATATTCCTAATGGGATAGGTCCATTTCCTATGACAGCCGTTAAATTGTCTTATTTCAAATATGAGCGTTAGATTTTACTCCCACATAATTTATGTTCTGGTAATTTTCCCTCCGAGATTATTATAATTAAAATTTGATAACGCAACCTTTAAAGACGATGCGTTACTAATAAAAATTCACATTATCTAATTATGCTTAATATCATACAGATCTATATATGAGGATAGTTCCGGACAAATCATGGATCGATATTCCTCGTATTGATAGATGGAGGGATAGTCGATATAAAGATGGAATAAATCAATTCATACAATACGCGTTGGCAGACCCACGGAAGTTAAATAGTGATGTCGTGTATTGTCCCTGCTGTTGGTGTAAAAATAGGGCGTTGGTGGATAAAAGTGATTTACAAAAACACTTAATATCCGGATTTCATGAGGAGTACAAATATTGGACGTTTCATGGGGAAGGATGCCTTGAAGAAATGGAACTGATGGCGGATACCGGTACGTCCGGTGGGAGAATAGATGATACGAGAATAGATGATACACATACGATGCTCGCGGATATGTTAACAGTTCCTAATATAGATCAATCTGAAGATGCCGAGGATGCTGACGAGTCGGGAAATGCTGGAGGCGTGACTGATCATGAGGAGCTAGCGCAGATAATGAAATTAATTAACGACAATGAAAATGATCTGTATGAGGGTTGTACCGAGTTCACCAGGTTATCATTTATGCTGCGTCTTTTGCGTATAAAGTCTCTTAGCGGAATGGCGGATAAATATTTTAATATGTTGCTTGTGTTGCTGAGAAAAGTCATTCCAAATGGAAAAGATAGCATACCAGAAAATTATGATAACGCAAAGAAGATTGTTTCCGTTATAGGACTTGATTACAATAAAATCGACGCATGCCCTAATGATTGTATCCTCTACTATAAGGATAACAAAGATCTTCAGGAGTGTCCAATTTGTGGAGTATCACGGTGGGTACAACGCAAAAATTATTCAACACATGGGACAACAAGGTCTATGCTTAAGCAAAAGAAGATTCCAGCAAAGGTCCTGCGTCATTTTCCCTTAATACCAAGGCTAAAACGGTTGTATATGAATAAAGACACTGCTAAGCAAATGAGGTGGCACATGGAAGAACGTACTGATGATGGTAAAATTAGACATCCGACTGATGCAGAGGTGTGGAAGCATATGGATAGAACTTTTCCTTGGTTTGCGAATGAGTGCAGGAATGTTAGACTAGGTTTGTCTAGCGACGGATTCAATCCATTTGGGATAATGAGTTCTGGTTGGTCTACATGGCCTGTGGTATTAACGCCTTACAACTTACCACCTTGGCTTTGTATGAAACAACCGTATATGATACTTTCATTATTGATACCGGGTAAGCATGCACCAGGCAATGACATAGATGTGTTTTTAGAACCGCTAATTGATGAGTTAAAACAACTCTGGACTGAAGGGGTTATGACTTATGATACTCATGCAAAGCAGTCTTTCAGACTACGTGCTATTTTACTATGGACAATTAATGATTTTCCAGCCTATGCGAATCTTTCAGGTTGGTCTACAAAGGGAACATATGCATGTCCAGTGTGTGGTCCAGAATTCAAAGGTCTTTATCTGCAGCACAGTCGAAAGTTTTGTTATTGGTTTAATAGAAGGTGGTTGAACATAAAACACAGGTACAGAACCAAAAAATGGAGCAAGTTTTTTGATGATACTGTTGAGAAGAGAGATGCTCCGCGTCCATTACGTGGGGATCAGATTGTACATTTGCTTGAGATGTTCCCTGCCGTCAGGTTTGGAAAGAAGCGCTATTCGAAAGAAGATTTACTTGGAGTAAGGAACTTGCGTATTAACAAAAGGATACCAAAACGAAAGAGACAAGCACAAGTGGTGAGTGATGGGGCAGAAGTCGTAAAATTATCTTCAGGATGGATAAAATTCAGCATTTTTTTTCAACTCCCCTATTGGAAAGAGCTAAAAATACGTCACAACTTGGACGTTATGCACATTAAAAAAAAATATTTGTGATAATCTTTTGTCCACACTGTTGCAAGATGCTAATAAATCAAAGGATGATCTACGAGCTCGTCGAGATCTAACTGCATTGAACATTAGAGAGGAACTGCAGCCAAAAAATGTCGGAAAATTATTGGAAATGACCGATTAGAGTTGCCTGCGTCTCGTATTATAATGTCGAAAGTTGAGATGCAAACATTTTGTCAAGTCCTCAAATCAATAAAGTTACCAGAGGGTTACTCCGCAAACATATCGAACTATGTCCAGGTGCAAGAAAGGAAAATATTAGGGCTTAAAACTCATGATTATCACGTGCTTCTTCATCAATTGCTACCTGTGGCACTACGCAGTACTATGCAGAATAAAAAAATAGTGAAGGTTATTATTGATTTTTGTGGATTTTTCAGAAAGCTTTGTTCTAAAGTTATAGACGCCCGTGACTTTGAGAAACTTGGAGAAAATATTTCCGAAACAATGTGTGAAATGGAGATGCTCTTTCCTCCATCTTTTTTCACAATAATGGTTCATCTTACACATCATCTCGCGGAGGAGGCTGCAATAGCAGGACCAGTCCATTATCGTTGGATGTATCCAATAGAGAGGTTAGTATTTAGAAAAATTTAATCGTTACCTATCAATAAAAATATCTATTAAATGGAAATTTCTTTACATCTATATCTGATTAATATTCCTTTTTTAGATATTTGGGTTCAATGAAGCGCCAATTGCGTAACAGAGCTCGCCCAGAAGGTTCAATAGCTGAAAGTTACGTGAGAAGCGAGTGTCTCTTATTTGCCTCTCGTTATATGAGAGGGGAACAAACTGAACTTCAAGCACCCGTTGATAATAAGGAGTACACAGTTCTCTATCCTCACGGGCTGAACAAAAATTATTCTAACATATTATTAGATCAAGCGCATGCATATGTTATAAATAATATTGAAATCTTCTCGGAGTACCGGAGGTAAAATATATAAAAAGACTTTTTAATACCATTTACTCTTTAATTTTTATTTTGACAAAATTTTTATTTTGACAATAATAATTAAATTTATGCACATTAATAGGCAACATCAGGAAAAACTTAAGAATGAAGTTACCGGTAGTACAGCTGTACATGACATTAAAGAAAGGCATATGAAGGAATTCCCTGCTTGGTTGAATAGTGAAGTAAGTATCGTTAAATTTAGCGATATTTGTATTCTATTGATAAAAAACTTAGAAATTATTGATTTAATAGTTTGCTTATTTTTGTATATTTAGATCCAGGAACAACTTGTCCTTAATAATCAAATATCAGAAGAAGTGAAGGTTCACGCAAAGCGGCCTTACTATGCTGTAATTCAATATGGTGGGTATCGTGTTAACAGTTATAAATTTCACACAATGGAGGTTGATGATACCAAGATCACCCAGAATAGTGGTGTCATGGCTACCTACTCACGGGAATGTTTCTCAAGCAGAAGAGATCAGAATCCAGTTGAAAATAATATGACATATTATGGACGGTTGGAAGACGTGGTGGAGATATTCTACGGCTATGGTGGTCCAAATGAACATAAATACATGATGTTCATGATTCGTTGGTGTTTTACAAAGACTCAAAAGGATCCCTTTGGATTTACAATTGTCAATCTCGATAAAGAAATTGATAGTGATGAAAAATTCATGTTTGCATCTCAGGTGGGACAATGTTTCTATGTGAAAGATCCTACAGTTAAAGACGAGTGGGTTGTCTTGTACAAGGATTCTAGGGCTTATATTCAACCTTCCACTAATGAAGATGATGACGAGAGCTATATAAACAACTTCAATGAGCCAAATACAGCGATCGATGAATTCTCGTACCCTCAAAACGTAGTGTTTGAAACGGATGCTCCAACAACTCAGACAGACATTTCAAATATTATCATAGACATTAATAGGAGCTAAACAACAATTATTTATAATCGGGTCTTCATGTAACTTTTTTTAGTTTGCAAATTGTATAATAAAAACTTTAATATCACTACAATGTATCTCAATTACCTTTTGGACGATATAAATATGTAATATCTTATTTTGTATATTCAGCTTGCAGATCCCTACAAACTTGATGTGAAATAAAAAATTTAGTAACGCAACAATACATATTGTTTTTATTTTCACCAAGCCAATTTGCATCTATGTTATATTAATTTGTATGTTTATTCAACTTGCAGATGTCTAAAAATATTAACAGGAGGTTATTCGAAGCTAACCCCAGTCAAGACCAATCCACTGAGGAAGAGCCTCCGAGTTCAGGAGAGATGTCAGGTATAACTTAGTTTAACTTACGTATTTTTATTCATGATATATGCACAATGATAATTTATTTCTTTTATTTTTATAGATGAGGGTGAGGAAGAGCCGACTCACATACCATTATATGCAGATCCTCCAGTTATACTTTGAGCATACATTCCTAGGATTGAGCGCGGGCCCTTACCAGCATGTGCAGAGGGGTACAGACTTAAGCAGACTGAAAAATACATGCTTGCGAAAAAAAGATTGGATGAATGGGCCCCACAGATTGATGAGATTTTATCTGATGCAAAAAATGAAATCAGACAAAGATTTGGTGAGTTTGATCAAAAACTTAATCAATTCCGAGTCTATTAATAAAAAAACATAATCAATTCCAGAATGTTGAAATTTGAATGTTTCCATAATTGTATCAATATCTAATAAACATGCTATTCTAAGGTTTCTCTTTTCCTTAATATTTTTCTTCTTCCTTTTTTAGTAAATTCTAAGAGCTTAAATAAAAGTGTTGATTAAATAAAAGTGTTGATATATCTATTCTTTCTTTTTTGTAGGAGAAAAACTTTACCAGAAGAAAGGCCGCCAAGGAAGTGACTTTAAAAAAAAGTTACCACCGGATGGTTTTCGAGCAATTGTGAGATGGGGACATAATGGGATTCCAACCGGACAGTGGGCTAATAACTTCAGCTCATACCTTGGATGTTTGATACGGAGGAGTGATAATGTGAATCCCTATTACGAGGCTTGGGAGCAGCCATTTCATGTCCTGGAGAGTATATATCGAGATTGTTGGGTAAATTCTTATATTTAGCACAATTATTTTTTAATTCTGTCAATTGTCCATGCTTAACTATATTTTATTTTTTAGAGATATTTCAACATCGACGACAATCCCGTAGGGTGGGAATTTTTATTTGGATACCAGGGAAAGTTCAAGCATTCTCTTCGGGAGTGGAGACATGAGATAAAGAAGAAATGCTTTGATTGTTTCACTCACAACTGGGAGAGGATATACAAGCGAGATAAGAGGGTTGAGCCTGAGCACTTAGCTGCACTTATAATATTGTGGGGCCAAGAGGAGCACCAGGTAAATATGTATAGTAGTTAATTATCATCAAGTTATTTATCTGAAACTAGTGATATATTCCATTGTATATTATACCATGCACTAAAATTCTCTTTGTTCATGTTGAAGGAAAAATGTAGGAGAAATAAACTTAATCGATGGAAAAAAGATTATGATCATCATACGGGGACTACTTCATTTGCCCAGATTGAGGATCAATTTTGTAGGACAACGGTATAAAGTCTTTTAATCTTCTATGTATATTCTCTCCGCTTCTTAGAATATTTGATAAATAAAACTAATAAATATATTTTTAAATCTCAGAACGCTCCCTTTATCCCACTACCAGAACTGCACAGGAGAACGATGGTTAAATTTAAGAAGGGGTACGATGACGATGAGACTAAGAAACAAAAGCTAGAATTGGCCAAGAAAATACAGGTTAACTAATTATCTTAGCTCTTATTAGCATGTTATCATGTTGGGAATTTATTGTTTGCACTCTTCTTTTGGTCATCTTATTAGCCGAGTTATTATGACCCATTCGTATGAGGGGCTTGCTTGTTAGGATATAACAATGCATAAGAAATAACATACTATAACATGATTGATCTACTTGGTTTTATTCTCGAAAACCTTTGAATTGCTAATGACAAAACTTTTCCTATCACCTTACAAGCCAAAGCACCCTTCAACTATTTATTAGCACTTAACACCCTTCTTCACATGTACTTTTATGTTGCACAAAACACCCTTCACATGTACTTTTATTTTACTTGTTCAGGTAAATATCTTTTATTTTTGAAAGGCCAATTCTTAAATTTATTTTTTTGACTTCTAGGAAGCTCTGGAAAACACATATTCTGAGGTTGTTGCACAGAGCCAAGAGCCCCTGACTAGAGAGCAGAATTATAATGTGAGCCATCTAGTTTGTGGACTTCCTAAAAAAGGGAGGACCAGGTGGATGGGAGTTGGAGCTCAGAGGGTGTCTACACAATTCCAGCCTCCGCCGATTTCCCATCGACTATGCCCTCGGGGCCCTCTTACATGCCGCAGGAGGATTGCACTCAGCAGGCGATGCAGCTTGTTTCCTCTGTGATGAATATGTTAGATGGTCAGATTCCCGAGGAGATGTGGGAGGATATTCAAGAGGAGCTTATGCGAGTGATCCAGCCTACTGCTACTTTTGCGATGGTTTATAGGCAAATAATGAAATCTTGTAGAAGGCGGGTTCCTACTCGGGTGCAAAGCCAGATTATGAACTTCTTGGCCACTCAAAAGGCATTTACTGGTAGTGGAGAGAGTAGCAGACAGGTATAGTTATTATACATGTAAAACATGATTACACACAATATTATGTGATTCTAAATTTAAATTATTTTGTTGCTAGATTGGAGATGATACTATTGGGAGCACGAGTCGTAGGGATGGATCCGCCAGTGGCAACGCGGACGATGACATGGATAGGGCGGATGACCTATCTTAGTGAGTTATATCCTAAACTCGTGTTTGTATATTGTGGACATCTTTATAGTTGAGATTATGATACTCGTGTTTGTATCATAATCTCGTGTTTATAGTGTGGACATCTTTATATTGTGGACATCTTTATAGTTGAGATTATGATACTCGTGTTTGTATATTGTGGATTTAGAACTTATGATATGTGTGTATTGTTTGTTGTGAAAATTATTATTGTGGATTTGGAACTTATCGTGAAAAGTGAATGTATATATTTAGATTGTTTGTGAAAATTGATTGGATGAGAGGTTTAATTGGGAAAATTTGGATTGTATTCATTGCGAGATGTTTTAGAATGCGTGTGAAATGTCGTTTGGAGATTTGTATGTACAGGGAATATATATATGTACAGGGAACTGAGTATATATCATCAGATTTTTTTTGCTGCTGATACTTTTCGCTGACGGGCTTCCCGTCAGCGATA